ATCTCAGATCTGCGGTCATGGATGACTAAAAATAAGTTGGAGCTTAACAACAAGAAGACGGAATTATTTATTGCATCGTCAGCCCATCATTATAAAAATCAAAAACATCACACATTGAATCTTGGTGATCAGTGTTGAACCCACATCATCATCATCACAATCTTAACATTCTTCTCGGGGTGTTTATAAAACGAAGACCGAAGACACCAAAATCTACAAAATAGGTGTGCAAGTACGTTTCATCTTTTACCTCCCTAAATTCCATACTGGGTATTGGGTGTTGCCCATAGTGGGCCGAAAGGCTCAAGTGAGATGTAAAGTACCGAACGGATGTGGTATGGTAAGGGAAATCTCTTCTCCCATCGTTTGGAATTTGAAGAAAATTAAAACCCCAAGAAGCTCAGCCTTATATCTATGTGACTAATAAAGCTGTTATATATTGAAGGGACCAGTCACTGTCAGTGGCTCAAGCTCCATATTTAGGTTTTAGTCTGACCATTCTCCACTCTCTAGGCTATGGTAGCCTGACCATGGTCTGACCATTCTCCACTCTCTAGGCTATGGTAGCCTGACCATGGTCTGACCATTCTCCACTCTCTAGGCTATGGTAGCCTGACCGTGGTCTGACAATTCTTCACGTAAGCTTTCTTAATTGTTAGGTTTTCATCAGCATTGAGTCTCTCATATAATAATAATAATAATAATAATAATAATAATAATAATAATAATAATAATAATAACTAGACTAATACTATGACTGTTTGAACAACAGAACATAGGGTTTTTCCCCATTGCATTAATGAGAAATGAAGTTGAAATTGCAACAAAAAGTCGTTAAAAGGTATAAAGTAAAAAAAAAAACACGAAAACCAATATAATTTTAATGAAGTGGAAAAAATTAAGTGGGGAAAAAAGCAACGAACAGCAAGATCAGTGAGATGATATTAGTGAGACTTGAACTATAGCTGCAATGTTAATAGCGAGGTAAATTGTTACTCATAACCACTGCTCGCTGTATGGGCCGACCTTGCTGTTCGTTGCTTTTTTCTAAAGTGCATTTTCAGTCACAGCGATTCAATGAATGAAAACGAAAATTGTTCATGCATATCTCGGTATTTTTTAGTTTAACCTAGCTGTAACTGGTTTAAGCGCTTTAGAAAACGCAAATTGCGTTTAAATAATTTAATCAACTGCCAACAAAAAATCTTTAAATGGTCATTATATCCACACCTACTGCGGATCGTCTTCAAAATTGTATCATTTCTTCATTTCACCATGAAAAAGTATCTTGCAAAGTGTCATTTTTATCCATCTATAGCTGGGACGTAAGCAAATTAAATGACCCTCAAATTTACACTCCAACCTGGAGCGTCCCATACACATAATAATATCTTCCCTGTAACTTGGGTTAAACTTTCATGAAAGTTTCATTCGGATCAGTTGAGCCGTTTTTGAAAAAGGCTATTTGGTCTGGGACGTTTTCCTTTAAATAATCCTCATATTTACACCCACAAAAATTCATTTCATTTCTTTACTGGAACTTTACTGGAACTATTAAAGAGAGTTACATTTACACCCATTGAAAACTTTTTATAGAACTTTTTATATATAGTCTGGGATCTCAAAAATCTAAATGATCCTCCAATTTACACCTTTGACTGATTCGTCGCCAACATATACTATCTTCCTTTGAACTTGGTTGAACTTTTTTCGAATGTTTCATTCAGATCAGTTGATCCGTTTTCAAAATAATTATCTGGTCTGGGACGTTTTCCTTTAAATGGTCCTCAGATCCATACCATACTGCGGATCGTCAGAAAAATTTAATCATTTTCTTTACAAAGTATTATAGAATGTTTCATTTAGATCTGGGTCATCAAAAATTGAAAAGACCTTTAAATTTACACCCTTCACTGGATCGCCACTAACACATAAAAAGGTCTTCATTGTAAATTGATTACACTTTCCCGTAAGTTTTATTCATATCAACTGACCTGTTTTAACTCAAAGGCCAGAATGGCCTGTGAGTTATTGTGATCGGGTGGCAAAAAAACACGTCAATAGTTGGAAAATGCTGTCATTCGTTCGTTTTTAGCGTGAGACAGTCGAAACTTTCGTCGTTTGTGGGGGGATTGATGAGATGCGAGGTTTCGTAGATTTTTCAGGTCAGCAGAGGTCATTTCTGAATTTCACGAAAAACGCTACTTCTCTCACAGTTTTAACTCTTTTGATCCGCGGTCGCGTATGGTAAATGTTGGCATACTGGTCAGTAAAAGTTCGGAGATTTTCAAAACTATTGCGGAAAACGTCGTTTCAGGCTATTTTTATGTTAAAGTTTTCAATGTTGTATAACTTCTATGGTGTTCAGAAAATTAAAAAAAAAAAGTTTCATACACATTTTATGGCTAATTGTATTTTCTATTCATTACAATCATTTTTTTTTAAATCTACGTTTTTTTTTTTGTGTTTTTTGTGGTTTCAAAACAATTTTTCATAACTGACAATCAAATGCTTTCTATGTCGGGGAAAAAAGTGGACGATACCGATAAATTAATAATAATTAATATGTCGCTCCATGCACAATGCCTCTAAGCGCTTCACATTACTACCCCGGTCATTGGATCAAACACATATGGAACACATACTCAGCTCCCTGGGGAGAATTCCATAATATTGCAGCTAGTAATCAGCGCAGTTGTGTTCGAACCTACCAGGTATCCACTTGTACTCCTGGGTGGAGAGAGGCAACCGTTGTAGATAAAGTGCCTTGCCCAAGGACACAAGCGATTTGCACAACGAGAGTTTCGAACCCCCGACGTCGGGGGTTCGACGTCAAATTACATGTGTTTAGCCTGATTAACCCAACTGCCAACCCTGCTTTTAAACTGGACTATGCCTCATATGAGAGAGAATGCGCAGAGTTTTTGCTGACATCAGCTTTACCTGTTGCACGTGTTTCGATTTTGGCAGATGTTGGCTGAAAACTTAGTAAGTATTCCGTAATTTTGTTGGTAATATGTTTAACACCGACGATATAGGCCTACATTTTCTTAACAGATAGTTGCATTATTGTAGTACAGTATGCGGAGCACGGTTAAGGCTATCGGCACTGCCGCAGTGCGAAAAAAAGGCTGCCGTTTTCTATCGGCACTGCCGCAGTGCCAAAAAGCTGCTGTTTTCTATCGGCACTGCCGCAATGCCAAAAAAGCTGCTGTTTTCTATCGGCACTGCCACAATGCGAAAAAAGCTGTTATTTTCTATCGGCATTATTGCCGCAGTGCGAAAAAACTCCGATTTTCTATCGGCACTGCCGCAGTGCCAAAACACTGCAGTTTTCTATCGGCACTGCCACTCGAAAAGCTGCTGTTTAATTATCAAATGGATGTTTTTATCTATAGATTTGGTATCAATAAATCTATAGATTATGGTATCAATAATTGGTTAGGTGTAGCCTAGCCTATAATATTGTTAACATTATATTATATATGTTTTATAATTAAATTATAATAATTTCTAATTATTAAATATATACATAGCCTATATCCAGGCCCATACATAAAACAAATAATAAAACAACAAAAATTGTATAAATAAAATAGTAGTAATAATAATAATAATAATAATAATAATAATAATAATAATAATAATAATAATATAATAATAATAATAACAGTGCTCGAAATGAATAAAAATTGTTTAATTAATGAGATGAATCAGCATATATTAAATCAACTTGCGTCTATG